AATCTGCGTCAAAGACGAGCTCACGGATCTTGCCAACTTTTCCATATGATGGTTCTAGGCAATGTCAATGCTGTCTCGGTCTTTTCACAACCAAAACTGTTGACATCACAAGCTCAAACCACGAATATCATGACTTGACCGAGCCAGCACAGCGATGAGAACTAAGTTTTAAAACCCATCGTCAAATTCCTCTCTAAGTGACGTCTTATCTTAAGCTATAAAAGCCCACGACGAGCTAGTAAAGTATCTTTCCCAAAGGAACTGCCTGAAACCTGAGAACCCCTTTGAGATCGTTTGCGTGCAAATACGAAACTATTTAGATCTTTGAAGACGCGCATGAGATTACAGATGATTGCTGTAACAAAAGAGAACGGTTTGAAGCTAGTCACCTGCTGCACGAGGCCTTTGAACCAAGGAAATCTCCTGAAGCGAGGAATCTTGACAAGTTCTATCGAGCAACGACTTGAAACTTCTCTCGAGTTTGCGCAATGTGAACACGGTAAGATCTACAGGAAATAAGTAAATAAATCATCTGCAGATTGGGAATCTCGAGACAGTTACGTGGACAGATTGCAGCTTCTTGCAGCTTCCTGCCACGTTCGCATTTGGAGGCAGAAATCGGCAACCTACCCGAGAGGTTGCCAACTTGGCGAAATCGTCCCCAGGCCGTCCTCACCTAAAGAAGGACTTTGGTGCCAGCATACCTTGTTGCTCCTCAAACAGTTGAGCAATTAAAAAAAACTACGAGAATACTGTCAAGTGTAGGATGCCAAAGTATCGTCCGTGCACGAATTGACCAGACGGACGCCATATTCTTGTTGATCAAGCCCTTCCCGAACTTGTTTGTTCGTGTAGTGTTTCTAAGACTCTGTCGTGCATACTTGTTGATTTTGTGTTGCCTGCATGGAAAGGTCCTTCGCGTTCACCTGGCCGACCCGTAGTGCTCATTGTGTCGAAGGCAACATAGACCCCTATGATGACTTGCGCACTTTGAGAAAGCAGAAAAAAATCCTCAGGAAGCAGGCTTGGGCGCTTAAATATTCCGAAAGAGAGGATGAGTTTTGGAAGCTTGCACAGGAACATGGCTGTGGTACGTGAGCGATTTCTCGTGTATGTCCCGCTCTGATCTTCACTGCAGCTGAGTGAGACATTCGTCCAAAATAAGTGTGTTCTGCAGTGTTTCCAGATCCCAAAAACGATTGGAGATGCTGGGCGGTTTATAAGAATTTCGACAAGGCAAAATTACCCAGAGATGTGGTTGCATTTTTTGACCACCTGTTTCTCTGGGGGGCGATCAGCAGGCTCGAAGCAGACCTGGTTATGTACTTCCGACGAGTACGGCATGACAAATGGGAAAGGGTGCTCACGCGCATTGTGGGTAAGTGGCAGGTTCAGCTATGGTTCCTTTGCAGATGCAGGCCCATTACCATAGCGGGCTTTGACTTTGATTTCAGCTGTTATTTCATTGCATGCAGGTGACATAACCTGCTTCCCTGGAGATGTCAAAAGATTTTTTCAACAAGAGGTCGTGCATCCATGCAGGTAGTGTTGGGCCTGCTAGCACTCGAACATAAACTTGAATATTCTCATGCATTGCTTCAAGTGATATCTAATGCTTTAAACTATCAGATTGTTCCGAGATTAAGCCTTTTATGTGCAGGGATCTCGATCACCAAGGGCTACAAAAAGGTAGATTAGGCTATGGTTTTCGGATGGTGGTCAGTGCAACATGCTGGCCACAGCGCATGTTCCCACGATTTTCAAGGTTGCAGTGGCCACAATAATACCGCGAGTGGAGCGATGCTTGGGATGGACCATAGCACTTGACATTCAAAATGGGCACCTGGACCAGTGAGCATCTGCAGACATGGATAAAGCAGGGGACTGTACAGCATATCCTGTTAGGGCATGCAGCATTGGTTGCCAGATGTTGCTCTTTCTGATGCATCATTCTTCGAGCAGCTGGCACGGGCAATGAATGCAGCAAAGCTGGAGTTGTTGAACATTCTAATTGATGAAGGGTTGGATCGAATAAATGCCCAGGATGTTGGTGATGGTGATGGCATGGTTGAAGACGCCACGCTTTGCAATGACTCTTTCAGAGGCGCTCTACTGTTGCAGCACTAGAGTTTACTACTTCTCTGAGTTTTCCCCTTAGGCCTGAGTCTTCCAATGTATAATAAATGTAGGCAGGTGCCAAGGTGTTAAGTCCGGCAATGTCACGCTTGATGCGCGCACATGTGCGCCTCAAGCGTGACATCACCGGCAGTCATAACTTGGTGATGGGACTCCTGAGTGCCCCAAGAGTTGCTGCATTATCTGCTTTCTTTTGAGTTTCAGTTCTGTGTGATGTTCCTGTGTGTTGAAGTGCAGCGTGTGCACAATTTCGTTTTGTGCCACCCCAGTGACAGCTATCAATACGACAGTGATGTGTCTCTTTCTCTGCTCTGCCAGGCAGTTGTACATCTGATCCAATATAGTTCTCATTGTTGATATCTCTTGGACCTAGATTTGAGCCCAGGATGTGGGATTGAACATTAAGGCCATTGAGTACGATTCAATAATCAATTGTAATTACTGAAGAGAACTTGCGCACCGGAGCGTTTGGTTCTTAGCCTCTGTACGTATTTCAGGAATATGCTTGTTGATCCGTCTGGAACAGGCTGCATTTGCTGCAAAACTGCCTGAGCGAATTGTTAAGCGAGTGACATCATCAAGCAGTTGTTCCATTAAAGACCTTGCAGGTGCATGCCGTTACACCTGAAAATTTTTCCCTTCATGATCACACCGGAGTTCTCCAATGACAATATGGATGCCTTCCCAAAGAGTGTGTCCCAAGAACTTTCGGAGAAAGGTCTCTAGAGCAGAGGATGTTAGAACCTTCTCCTCAGATACTGGGAAATCGAACCTAAGCAGCTTGAGTAAATTGCAGACAGAAGAATCTGATGCTCAATCCACGAACATAATGGAGTTGTGTGATCCAGTCCAACAAGTCTCTGCATCCTCAAATCGTGCCTTTCCAATTTGGTTCACAGATTCAGGAAACGCACTGGATGGCGGGTGCTATACATCAGCATAGTGTTGACTCTTGCAGTGACAGACATCCTGAAAGTACGCCCGTTTTAACAGTCCCACACATACTGCTCGCCATCTTTCTTCCAACATACTTTGCATACAAATACAGCAGGGTCATCCCCGTAGAAGCATAAATCTTGTTAGAGCTGGCCGGTCGCCGACTCATCTAGCAGGGCCCGCTCACCAGCGGGACCCCTCGCGGCGAGCCGGGGGCGGCTCGTGGCAAGTGGCGCGGCACGAAGGCGCCCTGCCGCGCCGCCGGCCGCTCCTGGACCGCGCGGGGGGGGGGGGGGGGGGGGGGGTGCAACGGGGCCGCGCGCGGTCGCGGGCGGCTCCGCCGCCCTCGCGCCGCCCGGCCGCCACTTGTCTGCGCCGTCAGCCGCGGCCGCGCGCTCGCTCGGGGCCGGAGCCGCGGCTGCCGATGCTGCAACCGCCGGCGCTGTGTCAGCTGCTGCTCCTGGCACTCCTCCGCGCCGCGAGGGAGGCACATACCCTGTCTGCAACATTTTCCAGTCTTCAGCCCAGTGTCTGGGGAGACATAATAGATACAGTCAGGCTCTTTGCCCACTGCTAAGGTGGCAGGAACACTCTCGCAATCCTGGCAAGAATCACCGACAGACGTGCAGATAACACAAGAGGTGATTATAAGTGCTGTGAGGAAAGACGCGCCTCCTGTACGCTTGGATGGGACGAAAGCACCGCCGCCGGGCCCAGCAGCCGGGTTCGGGGCCTCGGCAGGAGCGGGCCGGGGTGTGGCCAGCAGCGCCTCGCGCTCCTTGCGCCGCTTCTCCTCCAGCTCGGCCTCCTTCTCGCGCTTCTTGCGCTCGATCTCCTCCAGCTTGGCCAGGCGCTCCACCTCCTCGTGCGCGCGCCTCTCTGCCTCCTCCCTTTCTTTCTCTTCCTCTTCCTGCGCTCAGCACCATCCAGTCTCACTTCCCACTCTCACACATAGAAGCTACTAATTTGCAGATAGAAGAGGACGACATCTCTCGGAACGTGTGGCATGACAGCATATGACTTGTGCTTCTTCCCATAACTGTTTACCCTCAAATGCGAGTGCTCTCTGCTCACATGCCAACCACTACAGGGGAGAACAGCAGGATGCAATGCTGGGGATGCAAGGGTCCCAGGGACAGAGCAATGAGACTGCGAACACAGGCAGGTGATGTACAGGAGGGGAGAGACATGCAGGGCAAGTGGTTCACATTGCAGCGGCGCTCCTCAATGATGAGGCGGCAGCGGCACACGTACTCCTGGCGGCGAGCCAGCTGCCGCTCCATCATGCGCCTCTCGCGCTTCTATCTCACCCGACGCTCGCGCTCCGCCTGCACAAGTCATTCCCCTTCGTCAGCTGATGACAACCTCACAAGGTTCCAGCCATCTAGGGCTGATAAGATGTCCTATCAACTCCCACATCAGCAGTTATGACATCAAAACAATCCATGACAAATTTGGCAACCCCCACCAAATCTTCCTGCCACAGGAAATCTAGCATGGTGTGAATGGGCGCAGAGAACAAACTACCATAACGGTCCCTGACATGTTGAACAGCTGGACATGTGAAGATCAAGTGTTTCTCATCCCCAATCTCATTGAGATCACACTGCTGGCACACTCTTTGCATGCGAGGCATTGCAGTGCGGCGACCAATGTCCTTGGGAAGACCATGACAACCCATACAAAAACGGAGAAGAACCCTCATACAACGGTCACTCAATGGCTGCCGTAGCAAGGGACCCGGCCTAAGGACTCCCTTGGAGGCCAGGCGGCCGGGCAAACCACCGCAAATAGGTGCAATATTGAGACCGCTCCAACCAAGGAATGGAGTGAAAGATGTGACTGTTGCTGGGCGATCTGTCCTTCAGAACACTCGTGCAGAACGCACATCCTCCAATTTGGTGGACTACAAGCCCACAAAAAGGCAATGAGGCGTGAGAGATTTGAACTCCCAACCCCCCGATCTGGAGTCGGATGCGCTACCGTTGCGCCAACGCCTCTTTAGCTTGATGACCATTCGATGACACTTGCCCATTTCACACATTCAGATACCTCAGGTATTCCACAATTCGTGCCCTTCTTCTCTTCTCCTACCTGCAAATCGCGTGGCTATTGTTTCGGCCAGGATCATATATACCTTTGCTGCCGAAGAGCTTTGAGATTACACGCCAACAGTAAAGCTGAAAGCAGCACTGAGGCCGCCTCACCACGCGAGATCGTCTAGGTTCTAGTTTCTGGTATGTCACTTCATATCTGCAGAGGCCACAGCGATTAGTGCTTGATCATAACAAAATTACCCAATTGCCTGTTCTGCTCTCCATCTAGTGGATTTTTTGCAAAATTAGGCGCCCATTGCAGACCCTGAGTGGAAGTGTGGGGCTCATTTGAGGACTTAATGCTTAATTCTTAAAGATCTCTCGATTGGCTGTTGGATAGATTTGCAACTTCTCGACTCGAGTTACAGCGTAGGAGCACTACTGAGGAAACATCAACGACCTTGGAGGGGCCCTCATCTAGTCCTGTATGCACTTATACCAACTAGACGCATGTTGCAGACACAGGCGCTGCAAGCCCTGAGTGCTGCTGACTGCCTTGTGAACAGGTGGCTGAGCAGAGTCTCTACTAGCTCCATCACATGGCACAGGGAACTGCAAACTGCGTCTGACGTTTGGATATGAAAATGTTGGACAATTGTGCGCCCTCTAAGACAAAAGCGAGATGACAGTGTCAGATCGGCCTGTACACCTGCCGAATGGCTGCAGCACATATGAAGATGGTGTGCATGAGGCACTTTTGGGCGATCCGTCCAAGCTGACACAGCCCATCAAAGATGTCAAAGACAAGTATGAGCTGCTGCCGGCCTTCCTCAAGGTATGACACCTGCAGATGCTTGATGATGCACTCATGTAGTGATTCTTGCGGTGACATTTGTGCAGTGCAAGTGGTGGCATTGTTGAGGAACTCTGACATGCTCTGCAGGTGCGCGGACTGGTCAAGCAGCACATTGACTCCTTCAACTACTTCATCAACCAGGAGATCAAGAAGATTGTCCACGCAAAAGGCAACGAGAGGGTCACATGCGACACAGATCCAAACTTCTACTTCAAGTGAGCTGCCATGGCCCTCTCTTGTCAGCAAGAAGGGCAAACTCCCCAGCACACTCAGGACTTCTGCTGTCCGCAATCTGCATCCTTTCCGCTGGATTGTTCAGTGCATGGCAACGATGGGTGTTTGCATGCTGGTCCCAGGTACACAGACATCTTTGTGGGGCGGCCGCAAGTGGAGGAGGACTACATCACAACAGGGATCACACCGCAGGCCTGCCGCCTGCGCGACATGACATATGCTGCGCCCATCAGCGTCGATGTGGAGTACACGCGTGGCAAAGAGATCATTGTCCGGAAGGGCAAGAACGGCGTTGGTGCAGTGGTCATCGGGCGCATGCCCCTCATGCTGCGCAGTGATCGGTACAGCTTCTCCTCTGACCTCTGGAGTTGTAGTTCACTACATAGTTCGTGCAGAGTAATTGCCCTATGTTGCTATCCTTTGCACCTTTGGTTGGATTAAGAACGCAAGGTATCGTTTTCTGCAGGTGCGTGCTCAAGGGAAAGTCAGAGGCCCAGCTTGCAGAGTTAGGTGCGACCTGCTCTCAGACAGCTATCACTTCAAGCGGAGCATTCTGGCAGCAAGGGATTCTGTTAGCAGTGCATGAGTTTCTACACTTGGAACATTCTCCTGCCATACTTGTGAGTCTCATAAGTGCCCCCACCCTGCTTTGCAGGTGAGTGCCCGCTGGATCCCGGCGGTTATTTCGTTGTGAAGGTGTGTCAACTGCCCTTCTCATTGAATGCTGCATTGCTTCCTGCATCTTCATGGTCTGCAGGCATGCTGGTCATGTCATTGCCCCTCATCAAAGACTTTATCATCATGAGCTTCAATGTTTAACAAATATGGTGGGTGCATTAGGGCGCGGAGAAGGTCATCCTGATCCAGGAGCAGCTGTCAAGGAACAGGATCATCATCGATCTTGACAGCAAGGGACAAGTGTCTGCCTCTGTGACATCCTCTACCCATGAGCGCAAGTCCAAGACCAACATCGTTGTCGGCAAGAAGGGGCAAATCTGCATGAAACACAATGCCTTTGCGTGAGCCATCTGACACATCGACACAACTCCTGCCCTGAATGTCCCACTTGTCAATCGGTTATCTATCAACAGAGAAGGTGGTTTTTAGATGTCAGCTGAACTTGGAGGGCTGCATGGAACCGATGTTGGACACATAATGATAAGGGGCTTGTCCATTTTTATGTCCACCTCTTTGACGGCATGAAAACTGATTTTGGACATCCTTTAAGAGAGGTCAGATGTGTGCAGTGAGGAGATCAACATGGCGGCAGTGCTGAGGGCGATGGGTGTGGAGAGCGACCAAGAGATTTTAGCACTGGTGGGCTCCGAGCCGGGGCTGGCAGCAATGCTGGCGCCAACACTGCAAGAAGCCAAGTCCATGGGCCTCTTCATCCAACAACAGGCCCTTGAATACCTAGGTGCATACTCCCACGTCACGCTGTCCTGTCCACGACATATGCTTTCATCAATCAAGATATTTTGAGCTGTGACATCTAAGTAAAAGCAACTCTGTGCCAACTGGCAGGGAGCCGTCTGAAGGCGGGGAAGCAGCAGTACAGCAGCAGGCGCTCACGCTCCAAGGTGGATGAGGTGCGGGATGTCCTGGCCAATGTGGTGGTCTGCCACATCCCCGTCCACCAGTTCGACTACCAACAGAAGGTAGGCTCTTTCTCAGCCTCCAAGCGGTCCTTCATTTTGCCAGAGAGGCCTGACTCACAGTGCACGCACTTTCGCATAGATATTGCACAATATCTTTGCACTCGGCACTTGATTGCTCTCTGCACCTTTGACACAGTGTCCGAATCAAGCGCTGGCAGCCCAAGTTCCTCATGGCATGCAGGCAATCTACATGGCGGTAATGATGCGTCGCATGCTTGCCGCCATGATAGATCCGAGCCTGATTGATGATCGGGACTACTATGGCAATAAGCGCCTGGAGCTGGCGGGCGGCCTGCTGGCATTGCTCTTTGAGGACCTTTTCAAGCGCATGAACAACGAGCTCAAGCGCACGGTGCGGTGCTGCAGTTTCCACTCCTTCTGTCTGCAAATTTTTGCAAAATTGCAAGTGCGCTTATCATAGATGCTTGTGGCATTGGACAGATATGTGGGGTTTTTCCTGGGTTGACAATATGCTTTGTATTAGAGTCTATTGCCGTGCTCAAGCTCCACGTCTTTGGCACTCAGCAAACTGGGTCAGGGTCAGGAGAGAGATGAAGAAATGTTTAAAGCTGCTCTCCTCTATAAGCGCTTGCTGAGGTTTTCACGAGGACTGCTGGGTGCAGGCGGACAACACGCTCTCCAAGGCCAATCGGGCGAGCCAGTTCGATGCAGCGAAAAATCTTCATGTGGAAATGATCAGCCAGGGCATGGAGAGCGCCATCAGCAGCGGCAACTGGACCATCCGCCGCTTCCGCATGGAACGCAAGGGTGTCACCCAGGTGCACATTTTGCCCACATAACTTCTGGCAGGAAGCATCTACTGCCACTCATAGCATGTCGGTTGACTTGCTTCAGCACTGCAGGCTGGAGAGCACATTGAGGATGTTGTGTGACATGCAGGTGCTGTCACGCCTGTCCTTCATTGCAGCTTTGGGGATGATGACCCGGATCACATCGCAGTTTGAGAAGACCCGCAAGGTGATTGCCATCCTCGCTGATGCTATCTCAAACCTACAAATGCCTCTCCCATCTGCCTGCAGTGCTCTCTTGTTCCTTGGTGTTGTGTCGTTTGCAAGTGGCTGAGGGATGTGATTGTGAGCAGGTGAGTGGGCCACGAGCGCTGCAGCCGAGCCAGTGGGGCATGCTGTGCCCAGCAGACACTCCGGAGGGGGAGAGCTGTGGCCTGGTGAAGAATCTGGCGCTCATGACGCATGTGACGACAGATGAAGAGGAGGCCCCTCTTGCCCGCCTGGCCTACCTGCTCGGCACACAGCCGGCCTCCCTCGTTTCGGGCTTCGAGCACAGCTCCCGGTATGTTGGCCCCATGACTTCTCCACACTTTTGACGATCACCATGCTTGGTTGTAGCAGGTCTATGCAGGCTATAAGGTAGCATTTGCTGTTCGCAATGCGTCCTTTTCTTCATGAACGTGCTGCCCTCAGACTCCAGGGTGTATTGTACTGCAGTTCCTTACATGCTCTCCTCAAGTTCTGCCCTCCTCCCTCACATGACTATTCTATCCCTTACGACCTTACAACTGCCAACTATGGTTTGCTTGCTTACGAGGGGAAAGCAAGTGTGTGCATGTGCTTGTGCAGGGGGGTGGCGATGGTGTTCCTGAACGGCAGCATCCTGGGCATCCACAGGCGGCCCAAGCGGCTGGTGAAGGAGTTTCGGCGGCTGCGGCGTGCAGGGCGCGTGGGCGAGTTTGTGTCCATCTTCCTGCAGCAGGACAGCGTGTACATCGCCTCCGATGGCGGCCGCGTGTGCCGGCCCCTCATCATCTGTGACCGCGGCGTTCCCCGTGTCACCTCACAACACACCGCCAAGGTCTGCAGCCTTCCCTGCTGTGCTCTCTACCCCTATTCCCATGTCTTATCAGCGTCAGTGCTGCTCAAAACATTTATCACATTTATCTCGGAGGCTAGAGTTCCTGTGGTTGCATGCTGTCGCTGATCAGGATGTGCTGCTCCTGCAGCTGAAGCGAGGGGAGTGGGCCTTCAATGACTTCCTGCGCAATGGCTTGGTGGAGTACCTGGATGTCAACGAAGAGAACAATGCCCTCATTGCCCTGTACGAGCGCAACTGTGGTGCGGCTGCTCACCCATCCCTCTGTGCATGCTCATGTACGTGCACGCTATGGCAGAATGGTGTCTCGGGAGGGTGAGACTTCGAACAGAAGCTAAAGAGAGTCAGCCATGCAGGCCCGGCGACAA